GGGGGGGGGGGGGGGGGGGGGGGTCACGTAGAAACACGTGAAGAATTGAGCGCTGACGTAAATTCGACGAAGCACGGATGTTTAATCGGTGTTGGCCCGCATCAGGTTGATCGGGGACCTCCCAGCCGGGTGTTCGAAGGACTAGAGCCAGTCAGCCAGCCAAGTAAGAAGAGTGGTCGTAGAGAAGGAGGAGGAGGTGGTCGTGATGAAGGTACATGAGGAGAAGGAGAACCGGGTGGGACCAGGAGGGACCAGGAGGGACCAGGAGGCACCAGAGGGAGGTTGTACTGAGCTGTGCCGATGGAACGAACAATGGAGGCGGGATGCTCATTTGTCTGCAGGCATTGTTGTCCGCCCGAGCGGAAACATGAGCTTGTCTCTCTCTCTCTCTCTCTCTCTCTCTCACGTACACTCATACGCACACTCTCATCCACTCTTCCTCGCGACGTGCCGATTCGAGCGGCACAATTCGAGCACACCACAAGGAAGAGCCTGTACGATTCCCTCTATCTCGGATTTCTTATTCCACCTTGCGAAGAAACATTGATTCGAATGCCAGTAATATTTTTACGTAAATATTATCAGTGCATTGTGTCCCCGTGGCCATGAGCGATCCGACGACAGGTAGTAGGTAGACAGGTAGTTCTCGAGTCAGAAGCGATTTTCAAAGGATTCTGGACGTCTTTCGATTTTGGTAGCCAGTTCCTGAGTATAACATCGAACTTCGTAATGGAAAACGCGCAGAAGGAATAATGTCAAAGTAAAGGGATGCTACACGTCATCAAGGCAAATGTGTGCGCACGAAAGAGAAGCCGAAGACGAAGCTGAAGAAGGTGGCGAATGTGGCGAAGGTAGGACGATGCGCCGACGAATTCGGAGGAGAAGAACGGAGAAGAGTGTGGGTAGTCTTCTGGCTCATTGGGCAGCCGAACAAATTCGTCGCGACGTCCTCGACGTCCCCGTGGATTACGTGGGCCTTATGTTAGGGCCCAAAGTTCCTTCGAAGGGGGCAGACCTTTCCCTTATCTTCGACATCGCTCGAGCTTCCTTCTTAACGGTTCACCGGAGACCGCCGTGTGTACGACGTGTAAGACGTGTACGACGTGTACCACGATGGACGCTTCCCACAAAGTGATCGGACGCTCGCTTTTTTATCCGTTCAACGAAACAATGCAAAACGTCTTTACGCCATTTGCCTGACTATCCTCAAGTGCGCTTTCCTACACGGACACAATCTTTACCCGAAAACTGTTAAATCCTTCCAAGTGGACCGGATCACCGAAACAGCTTCTGCACTAATTATTATGTAGAGCATCCATTTAAAGAGACCAGAAGTCCCCGAAGTCCTTGAAGAGGGTCCTGTCCTATTCCTCCCTATTCCTCCCTACCTCCTCAGGAGCTCCCTCGTTCACCGGCCTATCGTACGTTGCTCTCCTTGTTGCTCTTCGGTGCTCTGACCAATTTGATGGGCACATAATGCGATGTTAATAGAATGGGCCAGTATTGGCCAGCCGGCTCCATAAATCTTGGGTAATTTGGCATTCTCCGTTCTCCGTTCTCCCTCCGTGCTCCCGGACTCGCTCTTAATTCTCTCTGGGCTCGGGACTTGATTTGGGCCTTCGCGCAGCGCTCAGGGCGACTACTCGCCTCGGCCGAGAGACAGCAGCAAGGAAGAATGTCAAGAAAGACTGAAGGAGTCTACAGCATGTCTTGGCAAATATGCAGAGAGCCTCATTACGCCGACATTACGCCTCGGGAGTTGATGCTCTATTTTCGGCCATTCTCTCGAACCTCCACTCCTTCCGAACCAAACGAATTCGACTACTCGACGTCGAATCGATTGAAAATCGACCCTTTCGACATTGCAAAGTCACGAAGGAAATATTAACAGGAATCTCCTGTCCGCGCCGTCGGCGTCGCTCCCTTCGCCTGGGTCGCCGCCCTTCGCAATTACTCCTCTGTCCTCGTTTCCTTCGATTCACCCTCCATTCACCAAGAGACCAAGATGCTCGAGACTTCCCGAGCCTCAAGCTTCCTTCACTTTGCCCGATAGATTTGCACTTGCGTGCAGCAGGAAAATGGCAAGCGAACGAAAGGCAAGTGGACGCGCCCGTCGAGAGTAAAAAGTAGGAAATCGGTCGAAACCTAAGGAATCTAAGCGGCTGCCAACCTGAGAACTCGCGAACTCGAGAACTCGCGAACGATCGGGCGCGTCGTTTTTGCTTTCTCATCAGGGCGTCGAGACAAGACAGTCGCGCGCGCGCGCGCGCGACTCTGTAGCGGATCGCGAGGTGAATCGATGGATCCTCCGAGAAGGACATGACGCTTCATGGAAACGATCGAGTCACCAAGGTGGAATTTATCGAGCCGACGAAGCCCCGCGCCTCCTGAACTTTCGAACTGCTGCACCGATGAAAACACTCATTTCACGCGCATTTACTGCTCGAGTGGGTTTGTTTGCTTTCTTGACGTATTATATCGTATCAGGCCAGGGGGGCTGTTACACGTATGTCGCAGGGTTCACCTCGTGCGCCTCAACGAACGCACTCTCAATTCTCTCGCAGCACAATTGGTAACGGATTATCCTTATTTATGAAATTATGAGTTTATTAGACCTGGGCCAACTTAGGTATGTAGGTACGCTAATAACTAATTGGCCATGTTAGGTAGAAGAGTCCGAGCGGATACTGAGCAAGCGAGTCGTGTCGCAAGCGAAAGACATTACTTATAGGAGTCCGAAGCTGCCATTGGGGAAGGATTCTACAATTCCATGTAATTGGCCAAGATAAAGAAAAGTGTTGACTGTGGGTCCTTCCGAGTGGATCAGAGTGAGTCCCATCGTGCCACCAGCCACAACAATAAGCGGCTGCTAAACAAACGATGACGCAACGCCCCCTCTGCCCCCTCTGCCACTCGACGTCTCGACTATCGCGCGCTCTTCTCTCTCTCTCTCTCTCTCTCTCTCTCTCTCTCTCTCTCTCTCTCTCTCTCTCTCTATCTCTCTCTCTCTCTCCCCCCCCCGGCCCTTCCTACTCGCTATGGTCTCTGTCTCGACCACCACCGGATGTGCTTTCGCCACCAAGCCACACACGTGCTGCTGTATCTATGTGTATTTCTATACTTTAGACACAATAAAACGGCCGGCACAGCCACGAGTTCCTCTAATGCCGAAGCAACCTTCGGCAATTTCGTACGAATGCTTCTGCGTGATTGGAGTTTACGAAGTGCGGGACGTAGGAAGGAATATCGCATACGTAGTTGTAGATAAATATTGTAGGAGTGTGTATTGGCTCTATTGGCGCTATTACGTGCCTATATCTGTATATCGATTCAAGGCACGGTGTATTCGCTCCCGATTGTAATTTGCCATGTAAATTCGAGCGGGCCATGATTATACGCTTTGCTGCTAAACGGCATTTAGGTAGGTAGGTATCCCGCTCTACCATCGTTCCGGTGATCGAACCGAGGATCGATCGATCGATCGATCGATCCTTGAACGGCTCCGTTGGTATAGATTCTGATCGTGCCAGATGGTCTATAGGGCATCGCGCCACCATTATGTGCTCGCTCGAGCATCCGTAATGAAATTAAAAGTTACGAGGTCCACCGGAGGAATTTTCTCGGAAAGTCGAAAATAATAACTCATCCATAAATAAGAATCAATCGATCGTTCGTTCTCCTGATCAGCGGGAATTTCTTTTTTCTTTATGAATATCCGATCGTTATAATGGATATTTTTTCATTCTATGTTGTAGTTTCGCGGCCAAAGGCAAATCTGTCTCCATTCGTGGCTTCTATACGTCATGTTCTACGCCAGACAGACCGAATTATTCCAATTTGTTCTGTACTCGGTCCAGCCACTTTCTGTCTAGTAAACGCTAATTAGAGCCTCTAAGCAGCGTCTTGACTCTGCCTAGACAATGGAGCACTTTCCTAAATGGGAGGCCTCAATTCGGGCGCCGTTTGCGGGGCAGACTAGTCTGGCCCATTCTACGACGACGACGACGACGACGACGACGACGACGACGTCTTCTCCACCTTAAGCCAGGAACGAATAACCGTTCGGATTTGACTAAAGTGAATAAAGATATCCGGATGCGTCGCCGTCTTCCTGGCGCGCGCGCGCGCGCGCGCGTGCTGCTGACACAAAATGCAAAGTTGGCTTACGTCGCCGTCGGAGGAAGTGAATGAGTGGAAGGGCTGGGACAAGTTTAAGTATTAAGTAGCCGGTGCGTCCGCTGTCAGTCTCCGCTCTAATTAATCATAATTGACGGCCGCGCGAAGCCTCGCACATCGCACATCGCACATCGCACACGCAGAACCGTGCGCGCGCGCGTCTGCGTCCACTATTCCACTCAGAGACGTATATCGGCTCATCCATAGGCACGTAGGTGAATTGCACACGTGGACGTATGCAGTGCATAAGTGCATGCACCGTACAGGTGTTGTGCAATTTCCATAAGCTTGCATGGATGGTGGCTCGCTGAACGGGGAAAATGCGAGCATGTTGTTCTACGTATACATATGTATATTGTATATGCAGAAAGATCTCCAAACTGGGCAGAGAATTTGACTTAGCAGAAGACATGACGGAATATCGTTGCCGTCGTCAGGGGATGGGCGATGCGACGCAAGGCGGAATCACAATTAACGATGCAGGTCAAAATTGAGCGCTTACATAATCGTCTATGTCGCTCGACGGACAATGGTGGGCAGCGTTAACGTTGGAGTATTTAGATGAGTTGACTCCAATTGGCGTGTACCGTGAGAATCCTGGATCTCGCTACTAGTTGCCTGCCTGAAACTCTCGTAGGAC